AAGGCGCTTAAACGAGAATCCCGTTTTAGAAAGGAAAAAGAAAAGGAGAGAGAGAGAAGAAATCAATTTGAAGCTTTATCTTATCTTAAGCAATATACTCGAGGGGTAACTATTTGCCTGAAGTACTGCTCTGAGAAAAGTGCATCTCAAGTTTTGGTTTTTTTTTCTTACGGAATACCCTCAGGAGGACAAGTACAACTCCATTAACAGTTAACGAAGTTGTAATTGAGGCTCCAAGTGCTCCGTGAGGTAATATAAAAACTTAGCATGGATCGTTCCTGAAGGAAACGATCGTGCTTATGTGCGCTTTTTCCATCCACCGCCAGCGATTATCAATCGTCGTGCTCGTTGCCGACAGTATTGTCCTCTTTTTTTTTCGTCTTATGTTACATAATTTGCTGTTTTATTTTCATATTCAATTATGACACATTATAATACGATATGATTAAAGTTGTTCTAACACTTAATATTACGATAATGTGATTGTTTTATGATACAAGGTCTGACAACCGTTAGTGAAATACATCAGTTTTGATCATTTGTATTTTATTAATATTCATTCACTAAATGTCATACTCTAAATTATTACAACACCATTATGGAAAACGGATTCAAAGTCTTTTGATAACTACGCTTTTATTGAATGTAATATCAATTTGGTTATTAATTTTCATAACTTGATTATATAAAAGACCCAATTATTAACCGAATCATTAAATTTAATATAGATTTTTTAATAGTGTAGTTTTATTTAAAAATATCATGCACGTTGGACTTTTTACCACAAAAGTATTGAAGTTACTTGTTGAAGAAGTGTTGCATGAAAACAAGCAATGTCGATAAGTTCAGCTTGACCGAAAAAATATTGTAAAAAGAAATATAATTTTAATGTAATTTTTATTACAACATTTTCTCCGTGTGAAGCCGAACTTTCGATTGCAAAACAAGTCACACATCGTCATCATCATCGGTCATAATTATCATTATTCTCGATTTACGTTCCATCCGTTATCGCTCTCAGCACGTATTCTTTTTCTTCGCAATCATCCTCCGGGCGTACGTTGGCGCTGCACGTGTGTGCTTATCTTTTTTTCACGCGAACGTTGCATTTAACGGATTCTTCAGCTACAAGGTTCAGTGCGTTCTGTGTCAGTGATGCGTGAACGAGTATTAACGGAAGAAACGGGCAATTCGATCGAACGACAAAAAGCACGTATCTCGCCGGCTGAAGCGAGGCGCAATACGTCCACACAGGGTGTGTTAATTTATTATCGTATCGCGTTCTATCTGTACATACATATACATGTATTTCTCTCTAAGCTCCTGCTTCTATCGTAGAAAAGGGACCGAAGTAGGTCGGGTAGCGCGTCTGCATTCGCTCTTTATACGATTTTACGCATTTCGCATCGCGGACAACGACCCGATCTGCACGATTTTTTTTAATCGTCGCTTTATTATTGCGCGTTATCTTCGCTATGAAAGTCCCCGTTTGAGCCTATAATCGCGAGGTATTTCGCGAGACGATACTACGCTCGGATAAGTTGATTCTCACTCGCGTGGTTGTATCATATCAATATTACGTCGTATAAATATTAGTAGACATTAAAGCAGATACGCGAGGGAATCTCACCGAAAACATTCCATTGTAGATTTCGGGAAGTTTGACTTCTCGGAATTGCCCGACCTTCAATTGTTTGTCGTTATCTAAGCGGTCTTCGTGCCTCTACACTTTGCGCTTTAACGTCTGCCATGAAAAGAATAGGAAATCCGAGACACTCGGTATACGTCCAGATACGGTGACAAAGGATGCTGTGCCTCGCGACCGATAGCGGATTACGACTTCTCATGTATATTCTCTCTCTCTGTTTCCGCGACTATTTTCGCACCGACCGAACACGTGATAGCGATCCGCCTCCGCGAATGGACATGCCATGGGCGGAGAACACGTGTGCAGGGAGCGCCGCCGGAGGCCACGTATTATTTTATATAAACAACCTCTGTTTTCTGAAATAACGTTGGGGTAAACAGCGCGCAGGGCTCCGTGTTAATTTACATTCATTCGATTTATCTCGAAGCTGCGTATCTGCCGTTTCCGCTGTAACTTTGGACTTCCGCTTTCAATTCGCGAACTGAAAGGATCATTAATGCGGACCTCGCATCTTCCCTCATTTCCAAAACGGATACGCTCGAAGTTAGACGCGGTTGCAGACGCGATAAGTTAATCTAGCATCGTGTATCATCGTCTGTGCGCGATCCGATGTGATCATGCATGTGGTCTGACATAACGTCGCGGAATTAGGAACCGCCGGACCTTACGGAAACCCTTGGAACCGTCTTTTTTTCTGGGGGCCCCTATTTTTTTGCGACGGCTCCCGAAATCCCATATAGAACCTGGAGGCCCCGAGAGATGTAAACACGCCACTGCACGAGCGTCCTCGACCGGTCCGAGCCACGTGTCGATCTATTGCGCCGTTCGCCGCCGGCGACGCGCACATTCGCGTCTGGTGATTCGCGCCGCGCACCAGATACTGGCGCCTTTTAAAGGCGATCGTTATGTAGGCACTTCGGGTACGCGTATGCAAACGCAACACAACTCAATCTGAAATCGCGCGCGTTTACGAGCGCGGGTTAATTAGTGTGGTTTCCATTTTCACGGTTTTAAGGTTCTCTCGGACGAATTCGCTCAACCGTATAACGCACGGGAAATCTAACCGAGCGTGGTAAATGCAATACCTGTTTTTATATCAATTGCCTGGCATCGTAGTCGATTTTCAAATTACTCGATGTGAATCTCGACAAATTATTGTACACGTTTTATTATTATCATGCATTATCATATGTTATGATATATATCATAACGCGTATATAACATATCACACATTATCGTATAAACTACTTGTGTTATACATGTTGACCTTTCGCGTTTTACGGCTACGGATGCGGTCGCGTCGGTCACGGTAATTCCGTTAAATTGGCCGACCCGCGCACGTTAGAATCCGGACGCGGCATTCATCGCGAAGGGAATCGCCGTACGCGTATTGGGCGCGGCTTAATGTAAGATTAATGAGCTATTATGATTAATGGAGATTGAACCGCGTTTAATCGGATAAATGACAAGTACGGCAGCGGGGCCGGGAGGGACCGAATCGTTTTTCTAGCGGTTAGCTAATCTATTTGCACACTCACGGAGTTCTATTAATAGCCCGAATGGCGCGATGCTTACTACCGTCTAATGATACGTCCGCCGCTGTTGTTCCCGTCTGAGCGCCGAACCGCGCGATTACGGAACACGATATGATCCCAGACATTCTTTTTCACCGTCTCCTCGAGAGATGGTCAAGGTGGTATCATCAATCGGCATTCTTCTTCGCGCGAACATTTTCAATCATGCGTCGTAAATAAAAGAATAGGATAGAAACGAGTGAATTTTTATCTTCGGCCGGCAACGTGTAATTCAGCAAGCTTACGGTTTTGAGGATCACTCCAGGTTTTTACATTGCTCCGGACTGTATCAGAATCTGAAAAAGCTCTTGTATCTTTATAGAAGCTTTAATTACGAGTTTTTATTATCATTAGAGAAGCCCCCCCCCCCCTGCATACAAATTTTCCCAGATTTTTTTACAACATAGATTCCGATTACCCAAAGATTTCCCAAAATTTATCATTATATGTGATACCAATCGAGAATCCCATTCTTATCCTAAACATGGGTTTTCTGTATTAAATAATCGTGGTTAGGATAATACATGTTCGAGACGGCAGCGATTCGACCAAAGGGGATTTATTTCGTCGCTCGAATCAGAAGTAAACCCACCATCGGCGGAAATATCTCGGCCAGTGTCCAAATGCGAATCTAAGGCGAATATTTGCGCCTCCGACGCATTCCGCTTTGTTCGTCGCGTCTCACTTAACGTCGCCGTCGCCGTGCGCGAGCTGTTGTTTTTCCGAAAATATAGGTCAGTCCCGGCTCTCCGCGTGTTTGTTTATCAGACAGTAATAGAAATTGCACGTGAATGTACCATGCGCAATGACGGCAAGTTTCCCGATTCTCGGCGAGGTCGAATATTATTCCTTTATTTACGCCACACATTTTCTGACGCCGCGTTGTATTATAATTTCGCGTTATCCGTGATATTATTTTGCAGACTTTGTTTACTTTGCAGATGATGTGATATATCGCAAGTTGATTCTAATACGTCATGTAGTATATCTCTAAACATATTCCAAATAATTTTTTTATGATATTACTTATGATTTGGATTAGGGGATTCAATCAAATATGATCCTGCTCTTTTCGGTTGCATATAAATTTCATATAAATGTACGCAATCTGAAGAGAGAGAGAGAGTTTAAGAAGTTATAGATATAATTTAATCCGCTATATATTTCCTTTCGTCTCTTCATTAATTATTCAACAAACCTAGCAAAGTGTTTAAAGCAAAATAAATCAATCAAAATAAACAATAGGCGTTGAAATTAATTTGGTGCTTTCGTTACCAAAAATCCAAATTTATTTATCAATAGGAAAGATGTATAATTTTAATTATCCAGATAATCTCCATTATTACTGATGACTTCACGCCGTGTATAGAAATGGATGAAATTAAAGGCACCGAATTAGTTTACATGCTTAATGCATTCATTCGGTAATACCATTGAAATCTGTTCGTTCATATTTATATGAAAGAAATGAAGCTTATAATTGTAGATTTATCAGCAAATCGAGAGAGGAAGTCCATCTTTCAGTATACCGCTAATTAATCGATAACATAAAGAAACGAACATTCCTTCGTCGGAAGCGGAACAGTCTTTCGATTGCAATTGGTTTCGCGTTGCTACGATTTTTCTATCAGGAGGTATCGACAAGCGTGGCAAATCGTTTGAAGGGTAACGAAGCCCGACATTGTTGCGCATCATTCGTTTCTCGAGTCGAGCGAGAACCGTCTCAAAGGGAGAGGCGCCTAGGGTGAGCGCACTGCGATGTGTTATGCGCGCTGCCGGTGTTAGGCGTCGAAGGACCGCGTCTTTGAAAACTTCGGACACTTCGAACATTCGTATCTCGGTGAAAAATAGACGTAAGAATGTGAAACGAACGCCAATCTTCTCGTTATTTCGCGCAGCGCATGTTTACATTGGCCGTGTGCGCCCTCGTCATGACGTCTGTTCACGTGTACGATTACGACAGACAGCATATACGATGATCGTTGCGCAGGATGTCGGAATATGTGTATACAGGACATAACTAAAATAGGGGGAGAAACTTCGGGAGCGAGCTCTCCGCGCCAAAACATGAGGAAAAATTCACATCAACATATATCTGCAAACTCACTCTTACTGAGATACGGATATTGAGACAGCTCCAACAAATGTTTATTAATGCAATTCACTATTTATAGTCAGAGCAATTGTTTGTCGGTCCTTGTCTGACTCATTTCTTTATCATCTCATTATTCAAATTGACAACGAAGATATGCTAGGCTAACGCATCTTTGCCGCTTGTGAAACCATTCAAAGCCACCCCGAGATCTTTGAAAGGATGCGACATTGTCCACGACACAACGTTGCCCGTACGTGTTATCGAGTCAAATGGAGGACACTGAGTATTTGCTGCAATTGAAAACCGAAAATAATAATAAATAATAATAAATACAATTTTTTCATTATACATTAATAAATATTTGTTTGAGCTATATTTCAAAAATAGTGAGTTTACGGATATGTGTTGATCTGAATTTTTTCTCATGTTTGATGTAGGGAGCTCGTCTCCGAAGTTTGTTTTAGTTACACCCTGTATATATATATATATATATATATATACACATGTACATATCTAGACATGAAAGTAAAGAGCACTGGAAGTTCTTATCGTGTAAAGCAGGAAGTTTCACGCGCACTTCGCCCGAAGAATTTCTCGCGTCTCCGACGACGCGCGCTCCAGGAAAACTCACTTTACTCGAACGACACGGGCACCACGTGAGGGGCGAGTTACGGCGGGTCGTACGATGCGCCCAGCCGCGGTATCTCGAGATTAAAACGTGAGTCGGAAGCTGGCGAGGCATCGGAACGGGGCGAAAGAATTCTAGCCGCTGGCACTGCGTGCGCGCATCCGCAAACCCCTTTCGTGACGGTTACGTTATTTATATACAAGCCGGCGAGTTGTGTTATCTATCTAGCTCGAAAACTGCAGCCGGATACGTCCGGTTTATCGCCTCGTCTTCGGCCGCTTGCCCGCGTCCATCCGTCCATCCGCGACGAGATCGGTTTATGCATAGAATCGCGTATAAAAGCGCCCTCGAGCGCGCGCATCCCGCCATTCGTCTCTCACGCTGTTTCAGTAGCCGCGTTATCGCGCGCAACTCGCGCGCCGGTTCGCGCATTGTTTATCGACCACGCGTTCCTCGCAGCTATGTAATATTATCGTGAAACCGGCTGTAACGGGTTACACTTATCAGCCTCGTTTCACTTCCCTCCGTGATTACACTGCGCTCATTAGTCGTCTTCGCGATGGATCAAAGATCTCGGCGCTACCGAGACGTGCGTGGCGCACTTGACGGCTCGCTTCGCTCGCGGTACAATCCTTTTCCCGTTAGGTTGCGAAGTATTGTCCGTCAAAAGTTGCGTTCGTGTCGTAACAAGGAGCACCCAAACTGACGTCATACCCTTTTGTTTTCGGGCTCCGAAGCTCTGTTGAAGATGTAACATTGAAATTTGTATACATAAAAGCAACGTTTCTCTATCAACATATGTGATAGTTTTGGGAAAATTATTACCTATTGTTTTGCAAATAACTAGTTTTTATGAGGATTGAGACGCTTCTAGAGACTAGGCTCCAAAATTCACATACCCACGAAACCACTGAAATTACAAAATGTTACCTTTAATCTTACATATTTTTTGTCATTTCGAAAGGGATTCCCTGACTTTTTTCGGATTATCTTAAACGAATAAATAAGGAGATCACGGAAAAATCAGTCACCGGTAGCTTCAACCGTGATTCTGACGTGATACTTCACAGCAAAGTTCAGGTACATCAGTTTACAGAACAACCTAGCTTTGTTAAATGGCAGAGGACGAAGGAACTGGCATAAGATCCAAAGTGATTAAAATAATTCAAAACTTACGCTACAAAGACAGCATTGTTAAATAAATTATTTACTGCCGGTTCGTTATTTTAATTTTTACAAAAAGACAGCTCAACATGAACTTTAGCATAACGAAAAATCAACGTTAATAACACATCCGAATGCGCTTGAAAAAAAAACTTGTCACTTCAGCTGCAACTACTGTGGATGAAGTCCATGTTCCGTCCGATAAAGTTCAATATTTTACAGCCGAGAAACATGGGTGTGTCAGATTACCATACCTATGTCAGTTTTGGCACTTTTCTCGGATTTATTCGAGCAGAAATACTTGTCATATACGTTAGGAATGCGTGTCTTGCCGCGTGTCCTGTCGCAGTTGTAGATCCTGCGACTCGATATCTTTTGAACGGTTTGATGAAAAACGACGGGAAAGCAACTGGAGACACCTCGCATCGCGCATTATACGCTATATACCGTTGAATATAAACTGGATCATGCAGCTGCACGTGCGGCCAGCGTAGCTCTTGTTTTCTCACATTGACTGGAATCAACGAAACCTTACCTGCAATGATTTCGTCGGTATTAATGTTTCCATGGCGGAAATATCAAGCCACCGTGCAGTAGTTCGCGAGTAATTAACGACTGAAAACACAGGGGTCTTCGCAAAACAAGCTTCCGAGGGTCGAGCGTGGCGGGTAATAATAAACAATAATAATAACTTGTTGTTAACGAAATTGTCGGTATTACGCAACCGATGGTACAGTGCATCGAGTGTGCTAATTGGATCCTGAAATCCACCGTTGCCAAAGCGCGGAACGTTGCTCGATAAATAAATCGGCAGCGACTTGCGGAAAGTCAGCATGTCCGAGCTTGCGGTTATTTGTACGTAGACACGCAGGGAAAAGGAGGAATTTCCTGGGTCGTGCCGCCGGATTCGCGTGTTCGCACGCGAGAATTATGGATTTTCTGCGGCCGGTTTTTTTTTTGCCGGCAGACCTTGGAGCGCCGTTTGTTGTGCGGTAATTGTAAAGCGTGGAATCGCGCGATCGTGTGTCGGTTCGTTCGCGAGATGATGTCACGCATCAAAAGTACCCGCGCATATAAATACCGAGCGCGTGCGGGAGTGCGTGCGCGCGTACGTGTGTGCATTCGTGATGGAAACACGTCGAAATGCCGGCGACGATCGCGCGGCTTATCGCTCGCATGCTGAGCGCACGTTGGAAGCGCATACGCGTGCGCTCCTCCAAGGAGACACGGGCGCGATCGATTCTTATTAATAGACTCGTTGTTTTCGAGAGGAGTTGTTTTCGCGATTTCTAATGCAGCCTTCCGTCATGCCCGGAAACTAAACGTTCTTTTTGAGCACTTCTCGCATGAGACTCACGTCTTTCCGCGCGCTCGCTCGGGCGCATTAGCGCGCGCAGTGTCGCGCGGCTAAATAAATCGCGCGAACGTTAGCACGCAAGTCGACCGCTGATGCGTCTAGCGTTAACGCTCGAGTTACGATTCTCCGGAGATCTGTGAGACATAATTACTATTATTCGCTTAACTTCGCAAATATGTCGAGGGAAAACAATGAGACCGACGTACCGTTTGATTTCCGGGCTATTTCGGGCAAAATGGATGTGTAGAATTAAAATTGATGCGCCTGGATACAGAGCGGCAGCATTTCTCTTCCAAAATATATGATTGTTTTATGAAAATTATGAAAATTACAGAATTATTAATTATTATAATTGTCTTGCAAATAACTACTTCTTAAGAAATTGAAGAAATAACTCTTCGAGAAGGTAGATCCCAAAACCGACATAACCAGGAGATTGTCAAAAAAATGAAATAAAAGCACTGTTATTATATTATTTTGTTACATTTATTATATATTTTTACACATGTTATCTTTATTATTACATATTTTTCATTATGTGAACAATTTCTAGAGAGGAATCCCCCGATTTTTTTCTTTCTGACCATCTCAAATGAACAAGAAAAACAAGGGAAAATCGGTCATCGATGTATCCTAGATGAATCCTTATTTTGTATTCCGAGCACACGCGAAGCCTCGTCAACTATCCCGTGCATTCAATACGTGTCGATCTTTTTGCAGCGCCCGGTACAATCGAGTTGTTTTTTCGATATTACGATTCGATTGCTGATCTCACGGTATCGCGTCAGTTTGCTATTCCACGCTTATCGCGACATATGGTGGTCGTAATCGGCGTGGTTGGGATAGTTGGGCCGATGTTGCGACAGAATTTTCTGATTTTTTCCCATCTATCGCCGCGGCGACTACTCCGCGACTGACACCTCGGAATTTATGTGCGCCCGAGTGATCCTTACCATAGGTCAGACGATGCCATGAGAAAGTCAAGAAAAGCTGTTTTACGGCCGGCTGCGAGCGTTTTGAGGTCGAGCGAGTGAGGTGTTGCCCCGTTGCCGTGCTTACCGCGTGCATCGAATGCACAACGCGACGGGGAGATTCATAACACGCGGGATTTTAATGCTCGCTAGCCGCCGCCGCCGCCACCGCCGCCATCGGTTTATTATGAGTAGCGAGTAGGTTTACGATTGTACGCGGCCGATGCTGATTTTATTTATTTATAACTCTTTAACACGTTCGTCGTATATCTCGCCGCGCCTCCGGGGGATTATTTTTCAAAATGATGAATGTACTTTATCTTACCTCGACGGATGCACCGAGTTTCAAAGACGCGGATTCTTCGGCGAGATCGAAGTCGACTTCTCTTCGAGCTGATCATTGAATTACAGCTCAGGATTATGGCATTACTTGTTCTTCACGGTCCACATGAAATAATACAAGCTACAAGTCGGAAACGTAGCGTTAACACTTTCGATACCGCGCATGCAACTGTTCGGATCATTTTATAATTTCATCATCTCGAAGATCCGGAATATTTCGAGAGCGTTGATTATCGTGATTTCTTAGCCATCGAATATGCTTGTCATTAATCGACGAGCAACAACGGTTCGTGATTAGTGAGAGGTGACTTTGTCCTTTTCGAAGGTAACAATTGTTTTCATACCCGCACGTCGTGTATGCTTCTGCGACCAAGCCATAACGTCTCGAGCCGACGAGCTATGCATATACCGCGAATACTGAACATGTATCAGTGAGTTAGTTACAATTCTCGTTGGGGGTAATTAAAATATTCCACCGGTTATTGAAACATTTAATCGGGCTTTCGCCGGCACCGCGTTAATTAATACACGTTTTTCCAATCGAATCGTATTTGCACGAGCGTTAGTGAGTGTCTTGTGTAACGAAGCAGCCAGGAATCTGAATCGGGAAACCAAAGCGGAGGATATAGAATACCGGCAGTTGAGGACGTCGAGATACAAGTAACGATGTGTCCAGGTACATCAAATTATTCATCATATACAGGAGGATATGTTTTCGTTTTTAACGGACGTTTTTGTTTAACGGTCGAAACTCACGAAGAAATCAAGACACCTGAGTTGAAATTTAGAATCTGCTCTAAAGTCGCTATTTATATTCCGTCATTATATGATCGATAAAAAAATCAATTCTACAAATCGTTGATCATTCATTATGACACTGTTTTTATACGATAAAAAATATCGATCAAAACAGTTGAGTAACAGTTCATGAATTTGCAATTAATTATACTCTCGATTGGAAATCGTTGATAATTTACAACTACAAATATATCGGTCTGAGTCTCGCAAGTGTTGAGATTTATTTCCCTAATAATGCTGCCTCAGATGCGAGTTCACCTTGAATAACTCAACGTGTTTTTGTCATTTTTATTTTGCCTTTTTTGGTTCCGGTTCCACCGAATTTAAGTTTAAAATTTTGTTGATATTTACGTAACTTTTATATTTGATTTTAAAATTCCTTCTTTCTCATCTCTTTTAAATATCCATATCCAATTGAAATTTTGATCGCTAATAAAATAAAATAACAAGAAAGAAGTTGTGTAAACTGAAAGATTATTGTGTTATTTATTAATGTTATTGCCTGTCCATATATATATGAATTATTTAATACATACTTATCATAACGTTTTATCTGTGACTCAACACGTTATTTATTCAGTATGAATTTAAAATAGATAATTATATACGAGCAAAATAGATATTGAGTTTACTCAATATTAAATAATTCTTGCGTAAATACTTCTTCAAGATTGAAGAAAAACAGCAGTATTAGCATTTGCTAGTGTCAAGCTAGAACAGTAATATATAGTGTTATCCTAAGTCGAAATTTTATTTCTTATTAAATTTAGTTCTGCATTGTATTCCTTGTCAAATTTAGTTTTACATTAAACCTTCAAAGTTCTTCTATTGTACTTCTTTGATGCTATGGAAAAATTTTTGCTATTTTCTGCATTTGAAGATTTAATGTAGAACTAAAATTTCGATTTTGGATTTTGGAATCAACTTCCATTTATAATTTTAAATAAGCACTTATTTTGCTCCTTTGATAACTGATAGCTACAGATAGGAATTTATTTCCGTTTCCTTCTATTGAAGACTTGATGTAGAATTTAAAATTTCCACTCGGGGTAGTTCGGGTATTCTCCATTGATTGTTCAAGTTCGACGCGGGATTCACAGGATTAAATTGAATCTAAATTTCGAAAAAACCTGAGTTCAGTTTTTCTCATGACTAATAATACATATGAAAATAACATTTGTTTACTCAAAAAGTTTATTTTCTGAATTGAATTTAATTTTATTATATTCAGTGGAACAAATTATTTATTAATATTTATTCGTTTCTGTTATTGTCTAT